TTAACAGCTACCCAGAAGGCACATCAGAATCTTTCCCCAATGAAATTCATTGGCCAATTACAAAAGTCATATCTAGAACCATAAAGAAATTAAAAATCCCCAAACTTTTGTTATAAATTGAAAAAAGTCTCATGAAAATTTCCACTGAATTTTGGGTAGTGGAAAAAAATGTGACCACAAGACCTGCTTTCTCTGTCCACGCTTCATAAATGTTTAATTTCAAACTTGTGAGAACACCTTTTATTGATTTATTTTCCCTATGGTGTGCCTTCCAAACCAACCATCCATACACAAGCACAGGGTTAGGGAAACAACTGTAGTATTGGATAAAAATCAGTGTTTTCCTTGCCTGCTGCTTCCTGTTCCTCACCTGGCCCTTTCTATCTGCTGCTTTCCTAGCAGCACAGGTGATGGGGGAATTAAAATCAACTGGAATGAAGGGCAGATAGATTTTTCCACCCAAACAGAAAACAATTTGTTAGAATGATCCCAAAGGAGAAAAGAAATCCATGTGAAAAGCAATCTCTTCTCCCTCAGTGTTTCACATGGAGAAACAACATTTTCAGCCAACTCAGTCCTAGCACATTTGCATGTATATATTTAGAAACAGGCACATTTGATCTCCTGCAGCCGCCTGCTATACAGAGCTTCAGGTTTAGGTTAGAGAGATAGTAAGGCACAACATTTATGAACAGGTAGCACCTGCAATGACCATAACTATTTATTTAAGGAAGAGGGAACATCTTACGCTGTGGTTAAATGGGATGGCAGAATTTGTACTCCTAAATTTGGCTCAGGCTTTTGTTTGAATGTCAGTATTATTCTAAAGTTATTCAGTTTTACCACAATTTGGTGGTTTATTTCTATGATTGAAAATTAAAGACACACACTTGTTTTCATAGGAGCAGAGAAGGCTAACACTGAAGCCTTCTCCAAATCTTCACGCTTTTAGAATAGGGGCAAACTTGCTCTTATCTGTGTGGTGCCCAGTGAACACAGTTTATACCCATCCTTACTGACGGGCCATCTGACTAATGTTTTTTATTTATTTTACAAAGAACAAACTAAATCCTCTTTTCTTTTGGTCAGAACCTAACCAGAAAGAAAGTGATCTTATATTTTATATTTTATGAAACCTCTATCACAAAGCTCACAAAATTCACCATAAAAATGCCTTCTTGGTGCTTTCATCCTGATCTCAACAGCTCTGTGTTGTACTAAAATTTTCTGGTTTTTTTTCCACTATGATCTTCTTGCTCAATTCTCTTACATGCAGAAGGACAACGAGGATACTGTTTGAAGGCAACCATTTTCAGCAAGACTTCCTCAAACAGTTATAGAGGACCTAATGAGGTCATACTCAAAAGAACTGCATCTGTCCCTGCTATGCCTTTGAGATATACATTGGGTACTTCATAAACATTTGCATGAAGAGGCAGGCCGCGAGTCTGGTATTGTAAAATCATTTACTGGAAGTGTGAGGATATAAAGCCTTTCTAGCATCATCTCTTCTATTTGGTCCATAACAGAGATGTGCAAAAGCTAGGTTTATTTTCATTGAACAGTGAGAGAAGCAAAAGGTTACATGCACATATAGTTCAGATAAATTTTCAGATCTTTAAATCTTTGCTTTACAGGAATTAGAATCTTCCACAGTACATTTCATCTCATTCAAAACATGCAACTTGACTCCATTTGAATTCCTAGACTGGCAGGGGTGGTCCCCCTGACTCTGTATTACCCAGAAGCACAGGGTTAGAGCATTCAGAGAGAAATTAGAGGCTCTGGAGGCAAAAACAACACTACTATTACTTTCAGGTTTTTGAGTTTAGCTCATCAGTTTTCCATTTCTACCCCTCCTTCATCCTGCCCCAAGCAAACTATGTTTATTTGGCTGTTACACACAGCTCATTTGGGATAACAAAACCCAGGTATTTCACCAGACTTATTCCTTACTGGAAAACATTCAGCACCTTCTGGAGAGCAGTGTGCGAAGAGGGGCCTCCTTGTCAGACTCAGCATGGAATGCTCAGATGCAGAAGTAAAAATACTAAATTCCCTGATTTTATGGCTGCAGGTCAGCTTAAAGATTAGGAGATGGCAAATGCAACATCTGCCTCAGTTTATGTTCCCAGTACTGGCTAGAGCAAAATAAAAATAGGAAGCAGCAGAGAAAGAAACAGCACAAATTTAGGCACATGGGAAGAACCGCAATCCCATGCCCAGGGAGGGCATGAGCCATACACTTTTAAGGAGGTTCACAACAGTTTTGATGAGTCCAGTTCCAGCAGGAGTTTCCCCCAGGACCTCAGCACAGTCTTTCTGGAAACAGTCTGCACAGGAAGGGCAAATGCTGCCTGCAGGGCTGTTGGGCAGCTCCGCCTTCGCTGTTTCTGAACATCCCTCCCCAGGGTACTCCTGCCTGCACTACCTCATTCCTGTTTGTCACCTGGGCTGAACAGAAAACAGATGTAGCAGCTGCAGGCTTTCCCCTGGCAGCCTGGGTCTCCTCATCACCCCACAGAGTGGCAGTGGCAGAGGTGGCCATACTGCTCGGATAATGATACGGGACCTCAACATGCAGTGGCAGCATGGTCCAACAACCCCAGGGCTGTGCTGTGCTGGAGCAGGAACCATGGTTTACTTCAGGGGTAGACTCAGGAGAGGCTTTCCTGGTCCTGCCTGACATCCTTTCTGACCCCCGTCCTGATGGGATGCAAGGCTTTAAATGGCTATGAGCCAGCACCTGGGGACCACAGTCTGGGCAAAGGCAAAGAGCAGGGACCTCAGGACCCAGGTCTCTTCTTGGAGGCACTCAAGCCAAAGTAGCCTTAATAATTTAACAGAACAGCAAAGACGTTATCAGAGCTATCTTTCTAAATCCATCGTTCCCTGCTTTCTGCTCTTTGGGTGTGTATCCACGTATACATCACACTACCAGTAACCACAAAGCAATTACTTTCTGCCCATCAGTATTAGCAACACACCTCCACGTAACAGCACTTATCTCTTGTCTGTGAGACATCTCAAATGATTACATTCCTAGAATGCTTTGCCAAGTAAATCTATGAAATAGATGATGTCCTGGCTAAGGGTTTCTAGATGAGAAACACTGACCTTCATTATTTTTCATGGAAAATGTATGGCAGACCTAGTCTGAAAACTTAAAGTCCTGTGGCTATGCTACAAGGCAGCAGTTTTGGATTGGAGTGCTGGCAATAAATAGAAAGTTACCTCCAAGGCCTGAGCAGCAGCTAAACTATTGTAAAGGCAAGTTTCAATTCATTAAAACAAAATTTTGAGTAGAAAAGTAAATTTCGCAGCTGCTAACAAGCATTGATTTTTCTAGAAGTTTTTCTTGGGTTGAGAATAAAAAAGCACTTAAGAACAAAAGTCAACAGTGACATTTTTCTTAATTTTATGTGTCAGTGCATTTATATAAATGACTGAGACATTCTAGTCTCATGTAAGCAGTATGAAATTAATTCTCTTGCTGTTTCCATACAACGGCTTGGGTTGGAAGGGACCTTAAAACTCATCTCATTCCAACCCTCTGCCAATGGAAGGGACATCTTCCACTCAAAAAGGTTGCTCAACGCCCCATCCAACCTGGCCTTGAATGCTGTCAGGGATGGGGCAGCCACAGCTTCTCTGGGCAACCTGTGCCAGGGCCTCACCACCCTCTTCCAGTTTAAAACCATTACCCCTTATCCTGTCCCTACCTGCCCTTGTAAAAAGCCCCTCTTCAGCTTTCTTGTAGGTGCCTTTTAAGCACCAGAAGCTGCTCTAAGTTCTCCCTGAAGCCTTCTTTTTCTCCAGGCTGAACAAGCCCAGCTCTCTCAGCCTGTCTTCACAGGAGAGGTGTTCCAGCCCTTTGAGCATCTTTGTGGGCTCCTCTGGGCTCATTCAAGGTCCACTTCCCTCTTGTGTTTGGGGACCCAGAGCTGAATGCAGCACTGCAGGTGGGGTCTCACAAGAGCAGAGTAGAGGGGCAGGATGACGTCCCTCGACCTGCTGGCCACACTGCTTTTGATGAATATTTTTTCAGTTCCTCCTAGTTATGTGCCAACATCCCAGAAACATACTTCTCCCTTTACCGTCTCACATGATGCTGAGTGTCCACAACAAAATAACACTAAGAGCAGTTTCAGGGTTGTTTTGCTTGCAAGCTTCTTCCAGAATCCTCCACTGTCCCTTTTTAACTACATTTCTAACCTTTATAAAAACAAAACACTGAGGATGATACTAAATCTTTACCAGACTACCTGTAGGAAAACACCAATATTTTCATAGTATACATGACAAATACTTGGTACATCTCAGCGCAAAGCTGCTCCTGCTGCAAGCACTCATCAGCTTTCGCTGAGAATATCAACATGGGGACTATCAAATCCAAAAGCTTATTTGGGCCCCTGGAAGGTATTTTGCCAAAAGGCGTTAAGGCAGTTCTGGGCTCTAATGGTTAAAACAGATTTAACCGTGTTGTAAATCACTTGCAGCACACTGTATTGACCACAGAGCAGGGACAATGATTGCCAACAAGACAAAATACAAAGTGAAATAACATTTACCATTTTGGCTTTTTTTCTGAATAGTATTGTAAAGTTTAAGAGGATTTTTACTCAGGAGATTGAAGAGAATGTACTGCCTATTGGTTATAATCAGGGCCCCATGGTAATCATGGTGTTTATTAGGATATGGTAAAGAAACCATCCTCAAGCCCATGAAGACAATACCCATGTATAATACAAAACAGGAATGTGACCACCTGGTAAGTTGTAAGGTAGTAGCAATTAAACAAACACATGTAGGAGAAAAGTCTACTGCTTTAAAACTCACTGGGTCAAATGCCTTACTGATAGAACTTTATTAAGATCAACTGAGTCTTATCATGAATGGAGCAGTTTAACAGAAATTATGAGGAAAAATTAGATGCCTTTTTAAAATAAACAAACAACAAAACAAAGGGGTTTTGTCTCTCCAAAGTAATGAATGAGCAGTTCTAGAATGAGAAAAGCTTATTCTTTTTTTCATTGAATGAATAGGAAACAGATTAATTCTGAGAGCTCGTCACGATACAACCTGCTTGTTTATGCTTCAGAGACCCTGCATCCAAAGGATCCTTGATGAACTCTTGTTACGCAGCTTATCCACTCCAGTGTAATCCATGATCAAAGCTAAACAGAGGTGTTTGCTTGCAGTCTAGCTGCATTGAAGGTACTCAGCTAGAAACCACCCTCCTAGTGTGAAACGTTACAATCCATAATGAATCATTTCAGTAATGTGATCATGAGTTATTGATCATGAGTTACATCATAATAATTCTATGCCCAACATCTGAAAATTTAGGTCATGAGAAAATAAAAGTGAAGTCAGAGAGTGAGGAGCTGAGCAGCTACTCAGACTCACTTTCCTTTCTTAAGGCAAAACCAAACAGCTTCATGAATGCTGGAAAGATGTAGCATAAAAAAGCTATTGTATGACTTATCATTGTAAGATGCTCATCACAAGTGTGAGTAATTTCTTAATAAGCAGTGAGAAATCAGATCAATGCTAGTAAGAATCCAACAGCTGCACCAACCATAAAATTTCTGTACCTTGCATGGCATACCATTCAGCAGAACAAACAAATTCTGATGTATACAGTCCTTAAAGGTATTATGTTTCAGCCCATCTGCTAGTGCAAGAGAGCATACATGGGGACAGAGGAAAGGTATTATGTTTCAGCCCATCTGCTAGTGCAAGAGAGCATACATGGGGACAGAGGTGTTTTCCTTCTTCCTTCAGTACACTGGTTACTTACAGAGACTGTAGGACACATGGTAGGTAGGAGTCTCTTCTGAGCTTTTTCATCCTTGTCCTGCACAGATATAGTACACACAAATCAGAGATTATGAGGAGACCCGTGCTGATCCAAACCTTCAGCAACAGGAAGATAAAGGCAAGCTGGGAAAACCATGTGTCACAGGTGGTAGCATCATTCCAATTGACCTGCACTCTTCAATTCCTAAACTATTAGTATTAATAATTTATAAGTATCAAATGAAATTGTTATTTGCAAAGTCTTTTTTCCAGTTAAGCAAGTTAATACATCAATGAATTAGCAAACAGAAGGAAACAGAAAATAAATTATAATATCATATTTGTATTTACATTAAATGGTCACTTGTATTAATGTTTATAGCTGGTTTATCTGAGGGCAACATCCTATGATTCATTATTCATCAACATTAATGAACCTTTTGTCCTTTAATTTTGATAGAGTTTGTCCACAACATAACTTGAGTACAATTTTTGAAGGACATTTTGAGAATATCAAGGAGCTGAAGCAGGAAAAGACCACTGACAAGGGAAGAGTACATTAGAGAAGATGTGTCCCTATGCATATAAAGAAATCATACAGTTAAATTCCATTTTAACTGCCATTTTACTGCCATTAAATTAACCACAAAGTCAATCCTTACTAGCACCTTCTGAAACCCATACTCCAACATACACTCTCAGAAAGCACCTGACAACCACGTGTTAAAGAGACTGCAGTAGTGGCTGCATCCTTGGTAGAAGGATGCTGCTGCTATCCTTCGTTATATAAAATGCCAGAACTCCCATTCTGCTGGGGCCTGTTCAGCCTGCTTACTTCAAGAGAATGGTCTTACCACCAGGATAATGGCTGTCATCTGTAGGAGAAGAAAAGAAAAACCTCCATCCATAGTGATTTTCAAGACCCAAATGCAGAAAGCCCTGAGCAGCCTGGCCTGATCCCAAAGCTCATCCTGCTTTGAGCAGGAGCTTGAGCCAGAGACTTCCTGAGCACCCTTCCCACTCAAGGGATTCCATGAAAAGGAAGCACAGCAGCAAGAAGCCATAATCCTTATCCCTTTTGCTGAAACTGTGAAGGATCTGAGAAGGCAAATCATATGAGTACCTACATGTCCAAAATAGTCATTGCAGAGAAAATGAGGACACCCCACTTCCCTGTTCCAGTGTATGTTACCAAAGACATGCCACACTCAGCAGTTAGTACTTACAACAGAAGACACAAAAACTTTTCTGGAGTGATGCTTTAGAAGAGAAAACAATCCTTGATCTATTCTTGAAAAGAAACAAAAGTATTAAGCACAGATACTGACTTGGGATCCTAACTGGAGGAAGACATGGAGCCACAGGTAAAATACAGAGCCCTAAAAGGGCAGAATTTATGATATGCCCTTATCCTCATATTCTTTAAGATTACATTTAGACAGAATATAGGCTGACAAGCTGCATAGTTTCTGAATCCCTTCTGTGGTACTCGGCTATTCCCACTGCAGCTTGTGAGAAGCCAACACATAACCACTACTCCACTTAGGCCAAGTGCCTAGGAATTCACTGTAGCAGGGTCCCAGTTGTGGGAATACTGCGGTCTCACTGCTTTACAACAAAACAAAGATCAAATAAAAAAAACCCCAACCTATGTTCCTTCCTGTCTCTTGCAAAAGTGAGGATTTTATGCAAAACTGCATAGGTAAGTAGGAACAGAAGGTTTATAATCCTAATTTTAGGTTGCATAAAATAGCTTTTAGGTAGTTAAATTACATTCTGAAGTGCCAAATATTGCTACGTTTTTCTTATACAAAGGCTGTTTAATTGGATTCCCTGAGCTACAGTAGCCTAGCTCTGGAGTCAAAGGTGACTGCTGTTAGAACATCAGAAGGTAAAGCATTTTTTCTATATAATATATAGTACCTCAGTGATGTTTTTGGTGGAATGAGATATAAAAGGACCTATTTAACTGACTTGTATGATGTCTAATAGATAAAGCTAGAGAAATTCAGGCAAAAAAAAAAAAGCACATCTCACTTGATGAAGGGTATTTATTCTCTATCCAATGAATCTGTAAATCAACATCATTAACTGTTTAGAAACTGTTCAGGCAGAAAGTAAGGGTTTGATGCAAAAAACCATTTCATGAAGTTATGGACACAGCTCTGCAAGATGGCAAATTATTCCTGTAATGCTTTCCAGGGCATTAGTCATTTTGCTAGCAGCAGTGCTACCACCACTGGGCCACTACCATTAAAACCCACACGAAACAGAACTTCAATAGAAACCAGTAGTCAGGCCTTTTCTTAACAGACTGATCTGTTTTTCAGAACCTAATCTGTGAAACAAATAGATAAAATTCCCTCTTATTTGATCCTTTCTAAAGCCTCCTTTCCTCATAAGGGGTCCATTCCCATTCACTCCATGAACATCTCCAAATAGATCTCCTAGCCAAGGAGTAAAAATATCCCTTCTCTTTACTTTGTGTCCTCTTTTTTCTTATGGGGCTGTGTGCTGGCTTTTTAATTGAGATCCAGGCTCGCTGCAGATGGCCACCTTTGTTCCATAAACGTTTGTCTGGGCAGCCTCTCTTTATTCACAGCTTCAGGTAAGTTCATCTCCATTAGTGGATATTAAACCACAAACAGGAACTTTAACAACTGTTATATGGATTTCGTGCCTCTAAAATAGCCTTTAATAGTCTTTAAGCATAATTTGACACTTTTCTTGGTGTTCTTGGTGTGCTAAGATTAAATACTGAGTTTGGGACAGAATTCTGTCCTTGCCTGCCCTTGCAGAGAATTCTGTGTCTTAATATCTTTGTAAAATCAGAGAATTCTGTGTCTTAATATCTTTGTAAAATCATCACTGTGTAAGTATCAAAGACATCAAAGCTCGCAGTCGTGTTTGATTCAGGGTAAGACCATTGCTCTCTGAAAGCTCTTCTATGCTAGGATGGGACATTATGACAGTAAGAAAAATTCTTTAACATTATCACAGCGTTGGGACTCAGGAATCATTCATTTGTACTTAACTTGAAGAACTCGGCCTGTTTGCTTCCATTTCCTAGTGTGAAAATTGGAGATACTTTGTACAGACTTTCATATTCTGCTACTAAATGCAGACTGCAATGCTTCATTTTATTCTTTTCTGTTCCCATTTTCTTCAAGAGTACTTCTTGCTGTCCTGTTTCATCTGAATATAGAAAAGCTGTAATTCCAAATAAGCGGCTATGCTTTGAGTTTTCTAGTTCACATAGCATAAGGGAAAAGTTAGAGACCTCTTGAATATACCTTGCTTAAAGCTGTTAGAGTTACAGGTCCTAGACAATACACAATTTTAGGATAAAAGTCCACAGTAGAGATTTCTCAGGATGTAGATAAATACATATCTTTTTTTCAGTAGTGGACTGAGGTGGCTTCAAGTCTTTCCATCTCCACTGTCAGCTCTTGCTTGTACATCGTGGTTTATCACCATCCGAGATAAATCTATGCAATATGAGATTATGTTGTAATCCTGATAAGCACAGCAATTCACTTTTTACATTAAAAAAGCGCCCTTTCTGGTGCTGGTCTGCAATCAGTTGCAATGGCATGCCTGAAAGGGCAGTCAAAGAGAGCATACAGGGCAAGTGAGGGCTTAAGCCTCTTAAAACTGCTTTGGCCCTAGAGAAGGTGCAGTTTCAGAAGACATGATTCAGTTTCAACACCTCACATATTGTGTCTCCAATGCTATGATTCAGCTGAAAACATATAGAGTAGGAAGGTAAAATCAGAGTTGAGAAATGTCCAGTTCAGTAACTGTGTTTACAGTAGGTGCCAGCCACCTCGCTTTATACCCATTTCTGTACATCAGTATAGCTGCTGATTTAGTGAAGTAATGAAACCATGCCTAATTTTAAGCATGTGAGGAGTCCCATTGGGTTCAAAGAGATTATTCATACGCTGAAGTACATTGCTGAATCAGTGCTGAAATGAAAATAGTTACATAATTACAGGATTATATGAACATAGAGTTGCAAATCTGAGAGAGAAAAAGAGAAAGGCTAATTTACAGGATGGTGGGAACATTTAATTGCAGTTTAGACATGGAAGAATATCCACCACCATAAATGACGACACAAAACAGCATGTCTTTTACAAGCACTGTGGCATCTTTAACTTGCAAGGCTTAAACTGTTAACCCAAGCAGGTGTATGAATAGCACAGTGCTGCAAACAAATTTGCACATACAGCCTTTGTATATTCCATTCTGTACCTGTACACTTATATACGTGAAAATATCTGCTTTTCAACACCGACAGGTTTTCCCTCTAACCCAACACCATTTTCCCCACTCTGTATTACTCAGGCAGTAACTGTATTATTTTACAAGCTATTCTATTATCCCAGCTATAGGAGCAGAAATCTCTGCCTCTAACAGACTACTGGCCTATATTGCTTTTTTAAAATCATCTATCACTGATTAAACTCAGCATCTATGTCCAAATACACAGGCTTTGGGGACTTATTATCCAGAATAGGATTCAGAGCTAAACATTAAATCTACCAATGGTAGAAGGCAAACCTGCCTTGCAAGTACGGATTATCTTATGTTGCAGTGGAGGGTGACCTGAGTGCCTCCACTGCCCACAACATCCTTCTCTTATAGTTTTTCACTTTTTCTTCCTACAGCAAAGGACAAGTGCTCTACTGCAGCTGGCAACATAATGTGTTCAGGCAAAACCTTCACAGGAGCTGCCTCAGGGCAACATAATCTCCATGATGGGTGGGTGAATGTATCATCTTCTGGCCCAATCTAAGATGCCCTGTTAGCTTTTCAGAGCCTAAATGTGGTTTAAAGGTCAGAACAGAAAACCTTTGTGTGTCCAAATCCTGTCCCCCTCTGAATTTCACATCACTCAGTTGTGACTAGAGAGAGGTTTCTCCCTCTCTTCTGTTATAACACTCTGGTGTTACAAGCAGCTTCTGAAGGGAGATGTCTACAGTTATCCACTGAAAGAATGGGCCTGGCCTATCTTCTAAGTTATCTAGCTGGCCACATGCAATTCTCAGTCACATCTCGCTAAA